AATAAATTATTAAAAAATTAAAAAATATATTTTTTTTAAATATGACGGTATATTCATTATTTCACAGTTCTAAATGACTTATATTTAAATAACTATTTGAGTACGGTTACCCTCCGTGCTAAAAAAGAGATCGGTGATTAAAGTGACACTTTTTAAAAGTTTGGTGACCAACAAAGTGTTATAATCTAAGAAGCGGGCAAATAGAATTCACAAATTTTTTTATGTATATTTTGAGATTTCTTACAATTTTATTCTTTGACGAAGCCAGTTTCTTCTTCCAAGCTCATATTTGGACATACTTAAAAAGTTTACTAATGATTGAATAGTAAGTTTTCAGTATTTAATATTTCTTGATATACAAGTTGCTTATTTTGATAGTAACTTAAAAATTACTTTTGAAATATGCAACTTTATGTAATTGAATATTGTGATTACAGTTTAGTTGCTTTTTACCACAGTAATTTCATAGATTTGACAAGATTAGAAGGGTACCAAATGAAGTTTGAGACTTCGAGTACGTCCAAACTAAGCAACTAAATATTAAACTAGGTATTATTTTCATACAATTACCATAAAAAAAAAATGTAGATTTATAAGGTTTTAATAATCATTTCCACCTATATTGGTTTTATACGTATTGGTTACTTCTTATTTTGAGTTGGTATCTCCACCGCATCTATTAATTTGACTAATGGAAAAAGTTGACGTGATAATCTAATTATTTTTTAAACTAAATTACTTAATAAGCTTTCACATTAGTTTTTTGGTAAGATATAACTGTACTCAACTACTATATGTGATTCATACTCAACAAGAGAATAAAATAATAGTGAGCATAATTGCACCTCCCTTCATCCATGCATTTAAGGCAATTCCCCAGCGAGGTGCAAATGCAGCAAAATGAAGGCCACTTCCGCCATCACATCAAATATTTACATATAAAAATTCACAATCTAAGCAAAGGCCATGGGGATATATATATTCCACTTTCTAGGACATATGACCCTCACTAACTTAAAAGTCGAATGAACAATGCATGGTAAGTAGGCAGAGAGTTGTTGATGAAAATGTTGAAGCAAGTGATATCAAAGTCATCTGCCCATTGAATGGTTAACCATTGTGGAGGCAATTGAACTGAAATTTTTGTTGGGGTGTGCTTGAAACAGTGATCATCAAAATAAATATTTGTTATATGTTGCCAAGTTACAGCTTGTAGATTGTAACAAGAAAATACAGGTAACAGTGCGTAGTAAATGGCGAAGATCTAACAAATATGAGGTTCTTGTTTCATATAAAATAAATACAATGCTCATGTAATTAGGATAGATTGATGCATTGTGAAAGTAAACCACCTACATTAATAGCAATCCCTGCAGTAGTTGTTCTTGATTAAACTCACTAATCTCAATTATAAAATTAATATTTTACAAGATGAAATCAGAAACACATGAAAGCAAATACAAGATATGTAATGGCTCATATTTAACAAACTACTTTTACGACTCTTCTTGATAAATTATCAGTTTTCTTGCTCTCAACCAAACACCAAACTGAATTCTTTGATAAACTGATTTGACTACATCACCAAAAATAACTACAAACAAATCAATATCGCAACTGTGTAAACCAATATAAATTATACAGAGCATTCAATTGGTTATATTTCAGTAATAATAACAAACAATACTTTCAACAATCATTCCTTGCTCTTCTTAAAAGACCTAGTTAGTTTTGGAGAAAAATAATACCCTACAGTATAATTGATCTTCATTAGACCTTGAAACTACACGAGTAATTATCTCATTGTCTTCAACCAGTGAGTTTAAGTTGATTCACTATTTGAATGAACAACTACTTTAACCATTCATAATTTTTTAAGTGAGAAGAAGATTCACTAAATATGTTATATGGAACTTCTCTAAAAATATTTATGAATACAAGCTATGCAAGGCCAACAAGAAACCGGAAATGTGATACAACAATGAATATAGGATTTTCAATACAATCATCAAGTTTGATCAACTATTACATGTTATGTAGAATGAAATAATCAAAACAATGTATTTTATTTGAACATTGTGAGTACTCACTTTATAATTTATTAGTTTTCCCGTTCTTAACCAAACACAAAGCTGAATTCTTTAAAAGCCTCATTTGACTACATCAACGACAAATACTACAAACCAATCAAGGCTGGCATTATGCAAAGCTAATGAAATAAGACTAAGACTATCATAAACTTTCCCACGAGAGACCTAATCCTATTAGGTAAGCAATAATAAACCAACTGATCAAATTGAAAACTAGCAAAGCAAATGCACAGATTTATAGTTAGCACTTGTCCTTTGCATAGTTTCTCTATAATATAGTAAAGACTACAAAGTTTTTGTTATGAATCTTGCAATTCCAATGAAAACTTGTCGAAGTCCTTGTATAGCACCAATATTATAGCAACCTGACAATCAAGGGAACAGTACAAAAATCATGTGATTTGAAAATTGGGTTGTTTACCTCCTATTCCATTTTTCTGATCGACATTTTTCTGGTCATTGGGCACAAGATCCCAACCATTTCAAAACTCAACTACCTATAAAACTCAAATGAGACTTGCATATCATGTGATTATATAGTACATAGTAATGAACGTAACTACCTTTTCAAACACAAAGTAATATTGAAAAAACATTTCAAATTCAGTAACCTAGTTATGCATTGTTTACCTTTCCTCCCAAAAAGGAAAGTACCGAAAGCACTTTCTATTTTATGCATTGTTTACCTTTCTATACTCCATACAACTTTCGTATTACATCACAAATATTCCGCCTATATGTATTTTGTTCTTTTCTATGCAACAATACACTATTCTCTTCCAGATTCAATGACGGTGCTCGAATGTACAATTTCCTTCCATATAACATTCCCCTATAGCAACAAAAAGGGGACAGAACCGTGGTACTTGATCGCTATGTCTATACTGAAAAGTTGTATAATATAAAAATATAATTAATGTTAAGCAGTTTAAGAAAATTATAATTAAATTTCTTTTTAAAATACTTACCCAACACCTTGCACCATACCTGCAAGTGCCCTTCTCGTAGAATTTACACTTCTATTTTCACAACAATGAAAAAAATTTAAATTAAATAGTCATATATAACAAAGTAAGTTGAAAATTAATAAATAAACTCTTGTTGGTATATATCTTTTCTTATGGGACTCTTGCTCCTTTTGAGATCGCGATCACCATTAGCAAACTATTATATATACAAAAAATAAGTCAAACGGTGTAACAAGTCAACATTATAAACAAAGTAATTACAAATTATAAAAAAGTAAACAATAATAAGGAAAGGAAATGGTGAAATAAACCATACAAGATAACTAAATAAGAAAACAACAGAATTTCAAGCTTTTTCTGAAAAGAAATATAACATGGAATAAACAAAACAACAAAAATCATAATTACTATTTGTAATCACTCTAAAATCAATTGACATTGTATTCAAATACATACATGTCTCATGGAAGAGATTGACATCAATAGA